CGTGTGATGTTTAGTCTAAGTAATTCATTTTTACAATCGTCGGGATTGAGATGTAAAAGACGTTCTATATTACTTTGATAGAATGATTCATGGTCAAGTCGGTTTTTGTTTCCGTTCGAGACTTGTGAACAATGTACTTTCTTTTCGGAAAATGTTGCTGTGAATTTATAACCTGTAACTGTTGTTGCTCGGGCTTTTGAATAGAGTGTTGCTATTATATCTGTGGTTTCTATAGCTTGTGGTTCTGTTTCACATTGTGATACTTGATTTATTGCATATTTGTGTAGTGTTTTTTGTTCATTTTCTTCGCAATCGTAATGTGTTACTAATAAATCTTGTGGTCCTGTACGAGGGGAAGGGTTTATGTTTTGATTTGAGGTTACTAGAAAAAGGAGTTGGAGAAAAATTAATAATTTTAGAATATACATGTGTATGATAATCCTGAGTATGGGTTATAAAATGTAATGTAACCAATTGTGTTTTTGGTGTATCTGTCGTATTTATATATTACTTCAGTAGTTATAAACGGTGGTGGTAGTGATTGAGCTGTTATGTTAGGTGGATTTAATGGGTAGGGATGTTGGGTAATGTTATTTAACTTAACTGTGATTTCAAATTTTAATTGTAAACTGTTTTGTTGGAGTATTTGAATATTGTGATCACGGATATCGTTGTGAATATCTTGGCGATATTGTAATCTATTAAGTGCCCAGTTATGAAGGCGGTTACTTTCTTGATGTTGTCCAAATAATGGTGGAGGTGCTGTGAATGTATTCCAATCTAATCTTAAAGGAATATTTATTGATGATTGTTCTCGATATCTGGCGTCGAGATTATTTGGAAAATTTAAGTTAAAAGGTGGTGGTGAAAATTGGCTTATTGATGGTGTTGATGGTAGTGATAATGTTTCTGGTAGTGATGAGGATGTTGTTGTATCCGTAGAAATATCTATGGGGTCATTGACTAAATTTGGTTCACCTTGTGTAAATGAATGTGTAGTCCAATATGGAAGTCGTGATGTTAGGTTTGGGGGGTTAAAAGGATTTTCTCGTGCTTGTTCAGATGTTGGTGTTGAACCTAAGTAGTCTGAGGGGAGACTTGAAGTGCTTCGTTGTGAAAAAAGTGTAGGAGTTTCTGGTGTGATACCAGTGGTGTTTTCTGGAGTGGTTTGTGATGGGGATTGAGGTATATCAAAATGAACTCGGGGAGTTTGAAAATTTCTGTTTCGTCGAGGATGTATAATTTGTCTATCTATTTCTGTTGTGTTTTGGTTTTGACTAAGGTTTCGTATTCTACTTAGTTCTTGTGGTAGTGTTGGGTAAAGATTATATGTTGGTTCACTTAGGGATGCTTGTCGTTGAACTGGTTCTAGTGGTTCAGATAAACGAGCGTGCCGTTCTTCAAAAGTGTATGGATTGTCTTGAAAAGAAATTCGTGTAGATGTTTGAGGATTTTGAGTAGTTGAAGGTGGTGTTGGATTATCTTGGGATGATGTCGGTGAAGACTGATTCTGTGACTGTTGGGTAGCAATTTTTGATGGATTTTTGAATTGTTACTTTAGTGGGAAGGTTTATGTTTATTATAATATTCTTCCAAAAAAATAATGAGAAAAATTGTTGCTAGGGCAAATGTGATGATTGCTTTCTTTATACATTTACATATGGTCAAAATGAGGGATGATAAAAATGTTATGAAAATTACAAACAATAAAAAAATATCAGTTCTACTGAAAATTGTTCGTATCATTTAGACAAGTTGTTAAAATCGTACCTGTGGATATATTCAAGGGTTTTGGAAAGTTGGAGGAATAGTTCGAGTATTGTGTAGAAAATTAAAAAAATGTTACAAAAAATGATTAAGATTATTAGAAAAGATTCAAGTAGATCAAAAAGAAATATTATAAAAGCTTCAAGTATTGAAAAAAAATGTTTAAAATTTATAAGTATTTGAGCGACTGTTTGAGAGAAAAGCATTTAAGAAATGATCTCTTGGTCGAATATTTTTTGCTGTTTGAGGCGATTTTCTAGTGTGGTCGAATTATTTATTAGTTTTTTTTGACAAGTGGGTTGAGTTTCGTAAAAAACTGTTGGGGGCAATTTTCATGGTGACTGGGAGGTCGTCTTTTTCTTTATTTTTGTTTGTCAAATGATCCGGGGTATGGTGAGATTTTTATACTTTAGGCTAATTAAAATCTTCATTTTGTTACTTTAGGCTAAGTTATCAAATTTGTTTTGGGGGTATTCGTGGTCTGAGTTGGGGAAATATTGTTGATCTTTGGGTTATTAGATAAGGGAGGGGTACGGTATTATGGTGATGTTTATTTTAGCTGTCAAGTTGGAGTGGTTTGCTTATTTTTGACCTGGAGGTTGTAAAGTTATAGTTAGAGATGTGCCTGGAGTTCTAGATTATTCGTCTAATTGATCTTAGTTTGAGTTAGAGAAGGTGGCGGATTGGATGAATCCTATTGGTCTATTATGAACTAGAATTATTGCGTACTTGTGAGCATGTTATTTTGAAAAATTGAAATGAAAAATGTTACGGAGGTTTCAAGATTGTGAAGTATGAAATCTTAAAATTACTTTTTAAATTCTACTTTCTTTAATATTTTAGATTGGGGGATGAACATTTTGTAGTTTTTACGTGGTTGATTTCGGAGTCTTGTTGTTTTTCTATGTTCAGATTTGTCTATTTCTTCTTGGGGTATTATTTGTTCTGTCATTTTTCTATTTTTTCTTTGTTTTGGAGATTCTTTATGGTTTTGTGTATTGTTTTTGGTGGCGGTTGGTTTTGTGTTTTGATTTTCGGTGGGGTTATCATTTTGTTCTGTGTTTTTCAGATGTGGTTCATTTTGAATGATTTTTAATCCTGTGAAAGAATATAATTGGGTTAATTCGCGGAGTGCGTATTCTTTTGGGTAATAAGGTAATAGGTTGTTTCGATGTTGAACGATTTCTTTTTTGTTTGAGTCGGTAATTTTATATGTGACATCAGTGGGTTTTGCAATTATTTGGTATGGTCCTTTTCGAAGGGGTTGTAATTTTTTAGAAATTCCTTTTTGAGTATTAAAATTAGGTATTAAAACAAATGTTCCAATTTTTAAATCGGAAGCTGGTGTAAAACGTGAATTGATTTGTTCATTTATGTTTTGTCTTTGTAATAACTTTTTCGTTATTTTTTGGTAAATTTCATTGTGTTTCTTATCTCTATTTAAAATCCATTCGGTGTGTGTACCGGAGGCTAATTTAAGAATTTGTGGGTGATGAAAATGATCTTCATCGTGTGTATGTAAAGGTAGGTTATAACAAATTGAGTCTTTAGTTGGTTGACAATAACCTTGTGCGTTTTTATGGGAATTTGCTGTAAACATTATTGGTTTGCGTGGCTTTTGGTTGAAAACCATTTCATATGGTGACATTCCTAAAGTTGTCGTGATTTGTGAATTATATGCTAAGGGAAATAATTTTACATCTGCTGACCATTCGGTATATTTTGTATCATTTCCGTTGATGATACATCTAAGATATTCTTGCAGTGAGCGGTTCATACCTTCGACTAAACCGTTTGTCCAAGGTGCATGAGATGTACGTGGTTTGTGTTTAATGTTATATAAATGACATAGTGTGATAATTTCATTATTTATGAATTCTGTACCGTTGTCTGTAACTAAAATTTCTGGTAGTCCGAATTTTGCTATCCAGTGTTCATAGAGTGTTGTGTAAGCGTAATAAGCGTTACAATGTGGTACTGGGTTAAGTGCTACATAATGTGTAAATGCGTCAACAATTACCATAATGTAGGAGTTTCCTTCTGATGAGGGTGAAATTGGGCCTTTAGTATCAAATGAGATACGGTGATTAAAGTACAAACTTTGTCCTTTAAAATCTTGTTTTTGTGCTATTTGTTTTTGATTTGGGTAAGGTTTATTCAGTTGACATACTATACAATCATTGCATAGTACTTTTATCCAAATCGGTGCATTTGGGAAGTAAAAATTTTGTATAAAATTTGAATATGTTTTTTCTGATCCAGAGTGTCCTTTAATATTTTGTGTATGTGAAATATTAAAAGCTATAAGAATCATACTTATAGGGAGACAGGGAACTGTAGATTCATTTAGGTTATACTCTAAAAGGTCTGTTTTTTCGTTAATTGTTGTGTTGTTAAATTTGCGAAAGTATCGGAGGAGTGTTTTGTTTCCTAGAATGGTTGAATCTGCTTTGATAGGTTTAGTTTTATATTTGTGCCATGATTTCAGTTGTCGAATTATTGGGTCAAGATTTTGATATTGTTTCAGTGTTGAAATTGTAATCGTATCTGTTGGGGGGAGAAAAATGTTTTCGATTTCTAATTTAGATAAGGGTATTGTATCAAGTGGGTCGTGAAGGTCAAAAACTTGATTTATTGTGTATTTTGAATCATTTGTTTGTGGTCCTGATAAATTTATTTTATCAGTTAAATCTTCTTTTTCGATTAGTGGAAAATGGTCTTTCTTAGGTAGGTGTTGTTTTGTTCGTTTTTGTTGGGTGTTACTTTTTATCCATTGAGAATATGGGATTGGTTTGAAAGTTGATGTTCCAAGTAGATCAACTTCATAATGATTATTTTGACAATCTAAATAAAGTGGGAAATGTTGTAAATTATTTATTTGTGATTGTTCAATATCAGTTTTTACTGCATATTTGCATTCTAATCGAGGTGATGTTTCGTTTTCTGCAAGGTAGAATTTTATGTTTTTGGGTATTTCAACTGTTGTTTTTCGTGTAAGTAATTCAGGTGGTGTATTTCGACTTAAGGTGTCTGGTAATGCAAGATTTTTTCCTGCAGTCCAAACTATATGTAAGTTTGGAAACTTCATTAGAATTAATTGAAATCTGTAAACTCGGTGGTTTGGGTTAGATTTTTGTGTGAAAAGAAAAATGATTGGTTTGTGGTCTGTGAATAAAACTGTGGGATGTTTTGATCCAAGTATCAGAAATTCATATTCTGTAAGTGTATAGATTATGGCTGTACATTCTCTCATTAGAGTTGAGAGTCGTAGCTCTATTTGAAAGAATAATCGGGAGTTTGCTGATATAAGGTTCATTTTGTTTGTACCATTATGTGATTGTAATAATGCTGCGCCGATGCCAAAGTTCGAAGCATCGCACATTGCATAAAATGGTTGATCAGGGTCTGGAATTGTATTTGAAATTTGTTCAGTTAAAAGTTTCTTTATTTCTTCGAATCGTGCTTGATGTTCTGTATTCCATTCAAAGTTATTTTGTTGTCTAAGGATGTTATAAAATGGTCGTAGATATAATTGCATTTTATAAACATATTTACTTAAAAAGTTTAACATTCCAAGGAATTCTTGGATTTTCTTTTTATTTGTTGGTGGTTGAAGTTTTTGAATAGCGTCAATGCGTGATTTCAGTGGAGTGATTGTTTTTCTTTCTATGTTATGTCCTAAGAATTTAACTCTTGTCAAAAAGAAGTGTGATTTATCGGGGGCGGCCTTCAGATTTTCGTTCTGAAGTATTTGGTGATATTTTTCTAAAACACTGAACATTTCGTCTTTTGTTTGTGATTGCATAAAAACATCGTCTAGATAGGTGATTGCGTTTTTCTTGAGTATTAGTGGTCTAAAAAATTTGCTCATAAAAGCTGAAAATGCTGCTGGTCCTATGGATATTCCATAGAATAAGCGGTTGAATTCATATTGTTGGTTTCCGATAACAAATTGTGTTAAACGTCGTGATTGTTCATCTAGTGGCATTTGATTGTATGCACTATTCATATCGGCGGTTGTGAAGTATTTGCCATTTATTTTTGTTAAAATAACTTGTATTGGTTCAATGGGTCAATTACATTTTGATTCATCTATGAGTGAATTGAGGTATCTAGCGTCGAGAACGATTTTTAATGATTCTCCTTTAGCTAGAATGATAACGGGGTTGATGAATGTGTTGCCTTTTGGTTGTTCTTCTTTATTAACTGGTGATATAATATTGTACTGTTCTAAAATATCGAGTAATCTGTTTACTTTATCATGTAAGTGAATTGGTACTTTACTTGCTCTCTGTTTTTTGAAAACTGCGTCTGGTTTTAACGGGAGATGTAGTGATGAACTGATTTTTCCAACATCGAATTTTGATGTTGCATAGACTGATGAATATTTAATTAGCTGTTTGGCTAACTTTTCGAATTCGTCTTGTGTTATTTGTGAATGTTGGAAATTAAACATTGTTAAAAATTTTTGTTGGTCCTCTGTGTAGTTACTGATGTTGAATGTAGGTTTGAAATATGGAGTTTTTGTGAAATAATCCGTATTTCTGTTTTCGTTACTTATTATATTGTTTATAGATAATTCTTCATTTAGAATTGTAGATTGGCAAATATCTAGTAATTGGAGTATATTATTTACGCGATAGGCTTTTTCGTGTATTGGTGATATTGTAGCGTTGGTTTCACAATATCCTAAAAGTCCTAAAGGTAATGTTACTTGGTAAGGTGTATTATTATAGACATGTAAGGAAATGATATCGGAATTCGAATTTTTCAAATATTTTATTGAAGAGATTGTGATTTTGAAAAATTTATGAATAGGTTTGAATTCAAAATCTGACATATAAAATTTTTGTTTGTTTTGTTCTTTATCATATTGGTGAACTTGTTTGATTGAAAAATTATAGATGTTTCCTGATAGTGGTTTCAGGTGTTTTCTTTGTTGGTTAAATATCGGATAAAATTTTGAAAAGAATGGTGGTTGTTTATTTAATCTTTGAAAAAATGTTAAGGATGTTTCTTTTGTTTTTGTATATTTATCTTTGATTAATATTTTACTATTTAGTATGTTAATTGTTGGTATATACTTTGAAATAAATGGTATTCCAATGATATTATATTTAATATCAGTGATATGAAATATTTGTTTAAATGGCTTATTTAAAATTTTGCTTTGCTCCATTGTTCTGGTAGGGAGGAGAAATAATTGGATTTTTCCGTAGTTTATCAATGTTGATCCTTGTGCTGTTGCTAGCTTACTGGAGGTTTCAAGAGGTGTTAGCTTTGGATGTAAAGTTTTTATTTCATTCCATGTGGGAATGTTTATTATGTTTGATTCTGCTCCTGAATCAATTAAAAAATCTATTTCAAGGTCTGGTGGTTGAAATTCTTTATTTCTTGGGCTTTCTAAGAGAAATGGTATTGTCCAAATTTTTTCTTTGGGTTGTTCTTTTTGTATATTTTGATAAATGTGGTTTGTATTCAAGCATTTTGTTTTGGTATTTTTATTGGTTTGATTTGTAGTGTTTATCTCATTTGTTTCTTGCGTCGTTGGTGTGGAATTTATGGGTGTAGTGTAATTATTTTGAAGAAATTCTGATTGATTTTCATATATATGTGATGGAAAGGGTTGTTCATATATGACAGATTCATAGTCATTTTCGACTTTTATCATATTGATAGCAAGAGTGTTTTCAGTATCACTTTCTGAATCTGATGATGTACAGTTTATTTGATTGAGTTGTAACGTATCAGTTACTGTGTCATCAATACCTGGAGGGTCTGATGTTGTTTCTGGGTTAGCTTGTACTTGATTGATTTGTCTTTGATGTTTAGGTGTACTGCTTCTGTGACGATTATTAGAATTATTATAGTTATTATTATTCCTATGTGGTGATTGGGAATAATTTCTATAACGATTATTATAACTTGGGTGTCGATTTTGTGAATTATTTCGCGATCTGTTTTGGTAATTATTGTTTGGTCTGTTATAGTTCGATCTATTATATGAGTTATTTCTTGATCGATTATTCGGGTAATTCTGGTTTCGGTTGTTTGAATAACTTCTATTTCTATTATAGGAGTAGTTTCTATTCCTATTGTATGATGAATTTCGTGATTGGTTGTTTGGATAGTAGTTATTTCTTGATTGGGAATTAGATCTAGAAACAAATCGTTGTGTATTTGAATTTGATCTGGAGTAGTTATTTCTACTATTTGGTCTATTGTAGTGATTTTGTGATGGATTATACGTGTTTCTTCGTTCTGGTGATCTTCCTCTATAACTTGAGTTATATGGTGATTGATTTCTTGTATAATTTGTATTGTTCGGGAGTGGTTTTCCTGAACTGTTGTTGCTGTGAACTGTTTTGTTCGGTAGATTTTGATCTTTTTTCATGTATTGATAGAATGATTTATTTGGTTCTTTGTATTTTTGAGGTTTATTTTGACTATCTTGCTGTTTTTGTCTACATTCGGAAATACTATGTCCGTATCGGCGGCAATAATTACACCATTTTTTGAAAGATGGTTTGCCTTTAAAGTTCGGGTTCTTTTCGTAAATATTGAGTATTTCAGTGATTTTTTCAACGAGGTCTGTTTCTGATTCCTGTATATTATTAATATTAGTGGAAGTCGTTTCAATTTTGTTAACGTATTGTAATTTCAGATTTTCCGTTTCTTCTAGTTTCATCGTGATTTCTGCTTGTTCTAATTTGTCTACTAGTTTTCGAAAATCTAAATCGGGTTCTCGAATTGAAGAAGGATGGGATGCTCTCTTTTTTATTGCTATTTTCCTTAATTGTGGTGTTAAGGTCATCATTAAGATTTCTGTCATCTTTGTGTTTTTATAGTCATGTGTATTTAGTGAGTATGCTTTTCGAACTAGTGTTTCGATTCGTACTGCTATTTGCTTGATGGTTTCGTTTGGTAATCTACGAATTTCATTACATAAAACTCTTTGTTGTTGTTTGTTTCTTTCGGAGTCAAACATTTTTGAAAATTCTTGTGTAAATCTTTTCCAGTTTGATTTTATTTCTAGAGGTAGTACTGAAAACCATTTTTGGGCTGCGCCATCTAAGGTTGTTTGTATCAACGCTGTGCGTCGATGTATCCAGTTTTGATGTAGTGGCGTGTTAATTGGTTCAGGTCCTATGTTTAAAATCAAATTTGCTGTTACTGCATTTAAGTAATCTTCTACAGAGTATTCAGGGTCTGTTCCTGTGAAGACAATTAAAGGTTTATTTGATGTTATCGATGATCCACCCATAAGGTATGGATTCATTGTCATTTGTAATGATTCTGCTGCATTTGGCATTTGAGAAAAATTTGAAAGTTGGTTTCTTGTTATTTCATGTTGTTGAAGATAATATGGGAGTGGTATTTCATTTTGCATTTGTGATGGTTGATACGAGTGTGCAGTCATTGGATTTTGTTGTTGAATTGGTTGAAAAGATTGTATATTAATTGGATTTTGTTGTTGAATTGGTTGTTGATGTTGTGCATCTATTGATTGTGGAGAAAAATTTCTATGATTTGTACGTGTTTTTTGTATTCCTTGTCTACGATATTCTTGAGTATTTGGTGCAAATATATCTGGTTGTAAGAAGTCATCATCTGAGGATAAATAATCCATTTGATAAGATGTTTGTTTTTTATTTTTATTTTGTTGAAAAAATGGGTAATTTTCACTGCGATCCTGTGGAGGATTTGGTTGAAAATTTTTGGAATTATATTGGGCTGTTGGGTTATCCCAGTTTCGAGGTTTTGTATATTGGTTAAAATTCCTTTGTGGTTGATAATTTGTTTTTGATGGATGTGTATAATTATAATTATGGTCTGCAAAGTTGTTTCTAGTGAATGTTTTGCGTGTTTTTGATGGTATTGTCATGGGTCTATATGTTTGGTAATCCATATGTGAATATTTTGGAGCAACCGAAGGTTTAACGGTTGATTGTAAGGTTACCTGTGTTTGTGAAGGATTTGTATTTCTTGGTGTTGTTAAATTTGGGCGTATTGGTGAAATACTTTGTTGTGTAGTTGTTGTGTGTACAATTTCTTCATTTATGAAGTGTGATGGTGTCTGGATATCTTGTTGAGTAAGATTCCTAGTTCCATTGAGGTTTTCGTTGTGTATGACTGTAGAGTTTAAACTATTATTTTGTGTATCGGGTAAAAATGTATTATAGTTTAATGGTGTTGCATCAATTGTTAATGGTATTACTCTTACGTAATCTCTTATGTAAGATATTGTACCTATTGCTTGACTTGAGATTGATTGTGGAAAGCTTATAAATGCGGGATGAGACCATTCGGGGTCCCAAACATAATCTGATTGTTCTGTGATAGCGGTATCATCGTTCGAATTTTGGGGTCTAAAATTTTTTCTTGCTTGTGCAATTAAATCAATATTGTGTGTGAAATAATCTATTATGAACCATGCCAAAATTTTTTGTAAATCGTGTTTGGTATGTTGTGAAACATCGTCTTTCGTGAAATTTTCTTTAATGATGTTTAAATAACTAGAGAGTAGTGTGATTTCATGTCGTACTCTTAAATGTTTAGATGTTTCTGTCGGTGAGACATTTGTTAATGGGATTTCGTTTTCTAATATCGAAATATAACTATATATTATTGCGAAAACTTCATTGGTGAAAATGGAGTTTGCTCTTTGTGAGTTATGGTATTGGATGTTTTTTATATATTCTGAAAAAACTTTTGAAAATTCTAAATCAAGATCGTCTGTTTGAATAGTATATTTTCTATTATTATGGTTTGGGGAAGTGAATTCTATAGAGTAGATTCCATACTGCTGTGTTATGTTGCATATATCTTTTAGATAGTGATCTATGATTTGTCTTTTGATTTTTACATCGGGGAACTCTGTTTTACATGGACTGATTCCGGGTTCAAATAAATTTACGAGTAAATTTTGACAAAATATGTGTTGTCCTCTATCAGTATCTGCGTCTACTATAAAAGGAAAGATTTCATCATCATCTGGAGTTTCGTCACCTGGGGTGTGCGTTGAACTCATTTTTCCGTTCGATGACTGTTAATATGTAATTATTAATGTGTCGAATTGGTTGATTCCAATTGTATAAATGTACTGGTTTGTGTTTGTACTGTTTTTTTATTCTTCTTTTTCCTCTTTGTGATGAATTTGAAGTTGTTTCTGAGTCAGAAAAATATAATTGATCGTGAAGTGGGTAATTTTTATCTATTGATTCTTTTAGTTTGTAAAGTTCGTCTAAACTGTTGGTTTCTGATTCTGAAAATGCGTTTCGATTTTTTGAAAATCTTTTTCGTGTTATTTGTCTTTGTTTAGTTATTATTTTTCTCTTTAGTGTTTGTCGTTTTGTTCGAATGTATCCAACTGTTTGTGTATGAGGTGTGATTACAAGGTCGTATTTTTTGTTATCTATTTCACAATTGTGTAAAATGATTGTTTGTTTATTTCCTAGGTTTTTAAATCACATAAGGTTTAGGATGACGGATGCAAAAGGTTGTTAAATGATTTCTATTTTCCTAAACTGTTAGTTCTTACGATTTTTTGGTTAGCTTAACCTGGGTCTATTTGTTCAGGGTTGGAGAGAAAAGTATATCGATTCCGAAGAATGATTTTTTACTTTCTCGTGACTAGTATAAGCTAAGGTGTTAACTTACTTAATCTTACTTAGGGGTAGTGATTGTGTTCAAGGGTTGGAGAATAGTAAATCGATCCACAAGGTTCAGGTATAATTAGAACGCGAGTAGTTCGTTAGATACTATTTTAAACTTACTAAGTCTAAGATTTATCCTGGGTCTGGTAAGAGGGGGGGTCAAGTGAAGGATGATTAACCGAAGTTCTTCACTGTTTATCCTAATTTGAATGATTAGTTTTGTTTAAAAATTTCTATTAGTCTTGGGTCTTTAGAAAGGGTTGGGTAGTGAATCGACGTTTGAGGTCGTTAGACACTAATTAAGTGGGTGGGGGAGAACAAAGTTGTTCTGTTTGATCCAAGGATAAGCCTTGATGATCAAATTTGAAATTTAATTAAGTAGAAAATGATTTAAGATCCAAGGATAAGCCTTGATGATCTGGTTTTAAAATTAAGTGACTTTAAGTTTTAATAAAATTTTAGATGTGTGTAAAGGAAAGATTTAGTGTTTTGATGATATTAGTGAGTTGATGATTGCTGTTATGTTTTAGGTGATGAAGCTGGAACAACAAGATGATTTATGATTACTAACCTTTTATTGTCATGCTACTAATTTTTATTTTTATTTTCCAATAAATATTTTTCAAACATGTTTTGTATAATACTGCAGAGTTTTAGGAAAACGATCTTAGATCTTTTTATCAATCGTTATTGTATAATATTAATTTTGTTTAGCGCCTGAAATAATTTTGAAGATTAACTTCAAGGTTTTATGTTTGCAAATGGAAATCTAAATTCATTGCAAGTAGTATTCGAAATATAAAAGTTTGTTCTGGCTTTTGCCGAACTATCATATAACTATACGGCAAGTTTCTACTTTGTCGTATGTCGTCTTTGGTTCGATGTCTTCTTCCAATTCCGGGTAGTTCTATTATGGTTCGGAATATTGGCTCTGATCTATTGAGTCGGAGAGACATTTCAATTAAATTATTGTCGTATAACATTTTTTAAATGTTTTTGTCTAATTTCTAATCTATTTTTGGTTAATTCTAATCTAGTAAGGTCTTGTTCGAGACTTATGGTCGCACCAGATGAGTTAGGACCGAAGGGTAACTCATAGAGTAATTTCGGATAGGGTACACCGTCTGCTCGTCACGCTATCTTATTTTCGGCCGGATAGATTCGTGCAACTTCTTAGTCTAATACCGATCCTAATCTTACTCTTATACTATCTAGTCTCAGGTTGTTTAACTAGTCTCTGCTAGGCTCAATAGATCTAGGGTATACTGGTTTATTGCGGCTGCTGAAGTGCTCGGGAGAGTCCAACTAATTTCTAAGTTAAATTCAAATCTCTCTGGTGCTGAAATTACAAGTAACTTCAGCACTTACAAATAAGTGGGTTGTTAGTTAGATGGATCATGATTGGTTAATATTAAATACTTTACATTGGTAAAACATTTAATTTATCCAATCATAAAATGTAGTTTAGATCAGGTTCCAAAGGTCACTAACATATTTTTTAATGTTTTTGGTTTTTATTTTGGTTTCTTTTCTGGCTACTTTAACTATACACTTTCAAATCTAAGCAAAAATGAATGAACTAACAGGTAATTTTTTTATATCACCGACAAAAATAAAATAAAAAATAAAAAAACAAAAGAATAAAAAACATAATGATTTTTCATTGTCATATTCATTCAACTTCTACATTAATTGATTATAAAGTTTGAATTAGTGATAACTCGTGTTGACCAAAAATGCTAATCATACAATTTTCATATAGGTAAAAATGCTAATCATACATTTTTCATGTAGGTAAAAATGCGAATCACACAATTTTCATGCAATTCCAAAAATACAGATGTGGAATTTGTGTGACTAGCATTTTTCGATGAATCAAAACATTTGCTGTTCTTTCAAATTTATTTTCTTCTCAAAGTTTTTGGGTGTGTTCACAGCCGGAAACAAATGACAAAGACCTTGGTTTATTCTAAACTAGAGTCAACAAAGTGCATTTACAGTGCATTTGATACAATCTGAACTTTGTTAGACTTGTCTTACACAAATAAAATTAAGAAAGTATCGATCGTTTTTAAAATTTGAATTTTGAATAATCATGAATTGATCAGGGCATACATAAGTTGTTGAAAACAGTACTGATATTGGTTTTAAAAATCAGCCTGACTTACAAAAAGTTAAACCAATTATAATCTAAAAGTAATCGGTTTGTCCCTTAGAAACGATTGGAATGTTTTTTTTTGTTTTCCGTTTTCTTAAGAGTCTCCGAGGGGTGGCCTTCATAGACCGGAATGTTAATCATACAATTCTACAAAAAAAATCAATGAAAAAGTAGTTATCGCACCAATCTCATATTGTTTGCTATATAAGTGTCATTGAGTTCTTTGAGAATTGTTTTCAACACAGTTATTTCAACACAAATTTGGTTTACAACACAGTTATTTCTGTTAGTGCGGTTAAAACTCATTTTTTTCTCTTAGGGACTGGGGGCAGAAGGTTAACACTTTCATGTACAAAAATTCATATACAATCATTTTTATACTATTCTCTTATAAATAAAAGTAACCCTAAACACGTGCAAGTGACTGGCGTGAAAACATTGTTTAGGGCAGCCGGGAGCACAAGGATCCATTCACGGGGGAGTTGGTGAAGATATTCCCATTCGCCCAGAAGGTGCCCAGACTAATAGGCTCATTCGTGACTGTTCTCTTCATGGTGTCCATTGTCATTGCTGCCACCCTTGGTGTGATCATTTACAGGTAATAAAATGTTAAAGCAGTACGCCCATAAAATATTAAGCTAGACGAAACTAAGATGAGAAGAATAGGAATCAAAACTCCCGGGTTGACCAAAAATGCTTGTCATACAATTTTCGTATATGAAAAAATGTTTATCATATAATTTTGTACAATTCCATAGATACAGAAAACGTTAAGGGGGGGGGGGGGGTTAAAGGGGTTAAAGGAAAGGAATTGAGGGAGTTTAACGGGTGTTTCACAACGCAACTTTTTCAAACTTGCTGCAATCCATGTTAGGTTTCAAATTAAAGGTGAAATGGGTAAAACAAAACAAGTATTTAGCTATTGGTTTTTCGTTTCAGAGATTTTTATAGTTAAGTTAGACCATTTATCCACGAAGGAAAGGACCAACATACGAGCTGTACAGCTGATCACGGCGATCCGCTGTTGTGCCCCTGCTTAAGAACTACATGCAATGTTTTTGGTTATTTTTATCACCCTCACCCTCAAGCAACAAGCACAGATCCTGGTGGGCCTCGAACATCCAACCTTTCGATTGCGAGGCCAAGACATAACCCCTTCACCACCGCTCCCCAAAAACGGATTTTTGGCCAGCGCGTTGATGCGGGTTCCTTTTTGCGGGTTGACTTTGATAAGACTTTTTTTGTTATTGTTTTGCAACTTGGTTGTTTAAACTGAGTACTAATCGTTAGAACTATTAATATTTACAGAGCCTTCTCTTCGTGGAAATGGGAGGAATCTGCCTTCAACCAGTTGATTCTCTCAACCGGACTAGCAGCTGTCATGAATGCCATCGCCATTCTGGTAACCAGTACTGGATTCATTACGAGGCCAAACTGTGCATTCTCTGTATTGTAAGCGGAATCCGCAAAAGGCCAAAATCAGTTTTGTCGCGGAATCCGCAACATTGCTACTTTTCTTTGATCTTCTATGCTGTTTTGGATTCCACAAACAAATACCTAGATCATTGTACCGCTCATAATCGCTCCAAAAACATACGAATTTTGTGGAATCCACTTACATTTTGGAACACATTTTAAGACTTGTCTCTGGAATCCAGGAACATACAGACACAAAATTGTGCTCCTATCCAGTGCACAGTTTGGCCTCGTAATGTTTCGGCGGGGGATGGTCTTCTCTGGTTTTTGTTCTGGTATACTGCCCAAAACTGAACTTTTTGCCAAATGCAACCTGTCTGTCAAATACTTCAATTTCACGATTTGAACCAGGGGCGGATTTAGGGGGGGGGCGGACGCCTTCCCCTCAGGGATTCGAACCCCTGCCAACCCAAAGGGTCCCCCTTTGGTACTTTTTAAGAAATCCATTTTTGGCCGACCGACCCTAAAATTTTTCTAAAGGCGCATTTGGCGCCAATATATACTAGTTTTGAGGGGGAGCGCGCGCAAAAAAATGCGATTTTTTTTGTCAAAATTTTCCAAAAAGTGCCCAAAAAATTGCCTGCCGCGCAGAAAATTTGGCCAAAACAGGGTCTTTTTACTGCTTTGGGAGAGCTCGGAAAATCAATCTGATCGACCTAAAAAAAGGTCGTCAAAATTTTCGAACATTTTTTGAAAATCCGCCCACCCTCGAGAAAATCTTAGATCCGCCCCTGATTTGAACCAATTGTTTTTCATCAAAAAGGGTGGTCAAATTAACCCATTTTCTCCACTTGTGTGACATATAAATTATTTCACACAGATTGAAGTGACATTAAAGGATAACTAGTCTTGGATCCTTTCTGTTATACAGTCCAAAACTCAAACTTTTCATACTTTGAAAATTGCATCATAATGCTCGAATCTGATTGGTAGAAATTACTTCCGGTAAGCAATATCAATAAAAACAGAAGCTCAATCGACAAACTGATAATTTTGGGCCGAATAACAGAAGAGACCCGATGAAGGGGGTGGTTCGACACTCTCGCCAACCAAAGGGGTCTCCCATTTGCTGTACATTTGCCTTTAAAACAATTTTGAAATATTTTATTTATATCTGTAGTGTATCAAGGTTCCATCAAACAACAACTTAACAACTTTACAAAAAAAAACGACTTATAACAACTTAACAAGGTTAACTGGCTATATTTCTCTGCTATAAATCGAATAATCGATGTTTTAATCCCAACCTAATCATGATAACTGGTCGTTGCTTAAATGTGCGGTTTTTTGTCCGGCCCAGTCAAATAAACAAAAAAATTGCTGATAATTTCTTTACCAGGAAGCAACAGCACGGTTCTCCGGTAAGAGCTGAGTAGCTCATATTTTGATACTGCTTCCCTCGTTTGTAAAATAAATGTTTTCACAATTAGATCCTGGAACAAATCTACAAGCGACTAGCGTGGAAGTTGACAGACTGGGAAAACCACCGGACCCAGACGGAGTATGACGACGCTCTCATCATCAAGATATTCGCATTCTATTTCGTCAACAGCTACGCTTCACTGTTTTACATCGCATTCGTAAGAGGAGGCACCAGCACAAACGGAATCCTGAATCTAGGTAAGGGATCAAATGGCCCGTGAAGCGGCAATTCATAAGTAACAAGCGAAAGAAAGAAAAGAATTTATTTGAGTTTGCTTAAATTTGGTATGAATCTGTATTCGGGTGGACTCTTGATATATTCGTATTGTACATTTAGTCTATCTACTTCATTCTGGTATTTTGTACAACAATTAAATTAAGTTCCCTTGAAAAAATGTTTAAATATTACTGTTGTATCTGTACTTATACTATTAAAAAGAAATAAATAATAATTTATTATTATTATTTTATTTCTCTTTAATAGTATAAGTACAGATACAACAGTAAGCTTTAAGCACTTTTTCAAAGGAAACTAAAAACTGAAACTTAAATTGTTGTATAAAATACCAGAATGAAGTGGATAGACTAAATGTACAATACTTATCTATCAAGAGTCTACCCGAATACAGATTCACAACAAATGTAAATAAAATTTTAAAAAAAACGGGGAAATTATATCAAATTGTTTCACAAGAGCCCATTACTCTTTGGTTTTCATTAGTTTTGCGCAATTACTAGTCCCATATAACTCAACACCGGTATTAATAAACCAAAAAAGGGTTTAGTTTTAAGTTTAAAAAAAAAGTTTTAAAAAATTTTCGAAAAAAAAGAAAAAGGACAATATCTCGAAAGCTAGAAGAATTTGGAGGGTCAATTTTTGAATCAGAACCGCAACCCTGAAAAAGTGCTTTGATAGCACTTAGCCAATGGGTTAAAAAAACATATATATATATATATATATATATATATATATATATATATATATATATATACAAGTTTTTTTTTAAATGGATTTTACGTAATCATTTTTTCCAAGTAAAAAAATAATATTGAAATTGTGAACAAAACTTGTTTCATCAATTTTGATCATTTTTCCAAATTTTCAATTCAAAAAATTGTTTTTCCTCCTTATAATCAGTAATTTTGCACCTTTAATAGTTAGATTAGAGAGCATGATTTTGATTTATTTTTACAAATTAGAGGAACTTACAGTTCTTTGTCAATGACTTACAGTTCCAAAGCAAAACTTCAAGAAATCGCAAATGTATAGTTCTTGTACTGTTAGGGTTTCTTATTCCAAAAAATTGTGTTGTACTATCAGATATCCTCTTGAAAAAAAAATCATTCGAACAGCTTTTCGCTGTAACAAACAAATTTGATTCAGAAGAGAAAAACTATTTTGCCCACGTTTTTTATATTGGTTTGATATTTGTATGGTAGTGTTTGAGTGAAAATGGCGTTTTTGAAAAAATGCCACAATGAAGCCCTAGGATTGTTTTAGATTTTTGAATATGAAACACAAACGACAACTTGTCATCCAGTAAAACATCCAGGTTATCCGGTAAAACATCTATCTTTGGCTCAAACATAGCTTTAGCTAGATGAATTTGAAGATATGAAGCACTTCCCTTTCTATCAAAATTATTAAACCTGTTTTTATCTGAGTTGAATGTCAATTTGTTTGCAACAACCATTTGGAAACATTCATTAAATATTTTTGAAATAAATCAAGGCACGAGCTCGCACATGCCCCAATTGTATCATTAGCAAAATGAAAACGATTTGAATCAGTGGCTGAGAAATGCAGGCCATTAATGTAATTATGAAAAAGAAGATGGCCAAGAGAATGCCCCTGTATTCATGGGCAATCAGCCAGAAGCTTATTTATTGACTTGGACGCACTAATATCTATTGGACAAAAAATTTTCAAGCCAGTTATAACAGTTCCCATGTCTTCCCTAACAATTTAGGTTTCCGGTGAGAGTTTTTTAATCAAGCGTATCAAATGCTTCCTTAAATCAACAAAAAAAACTAGCGTTGATTTATCCGTTAGTCCTCAAAAAATGCGCTCAGTTAATTCAGCTAGCACATCGATTGTCCTGAGTTTTTTGCTAGTTCCATAGTGACCATCGAATAGCAAGCTGAACTTTCCAAAAAAATTGTAAAAACCAAAATGCATAATTTTTTCTATTACTTTGTAAAGTAATTCTTTGTAAAGTTTTATTACTTTGTACGAGGAAAAGTTGTACCAAGCACTTTGTACGGATTTTTCGGTAAAACACCAGAAATGAAAGAAAAGTTTATGGGTTGAATTAAATAGGGAGCTATAACAAAACAGCTTTTTATTAGCAGCAGTTTGCTTTTTTCATGCGATTTTGAAAAATTAGTTTGGGCTTCAAGTTGGTTATAACACTAATCACTTCTTGGAAAAAACAATTGAAAAAGTGCAATTACATGGGAGCATTTTTAACATCAAGGATTGGTTCTACTTGAGATATGGATTTAGCTAAATTAGATCTAATTGTCGGAGAAAAATCATTGAAAGCGTCAGACATTGAGGAGTATTCATATAAATTTTTACTATAAACATATATAGATGCAAAACGAGACGAACTGTGTGTTTTTGGTTTCAAGTTGGTTATAACACTACTCACCGCTTCGAAAAAATAATTGAAAAGGTGCAATGATTTGGTAGCATTTTCAATATCAAGGATTGTTTATACTTGAGATATGGATTTAGCTAAATTAGATCTAATTATTGAGAAGATTTCCTTGATAGCGTCTGACATTGAGGAATATTCATATAAGTTTCTGGTATAAACAGAGATAGATGCAAAACGAGACGAAATGGGTTTTTTGGGCTTCAAGTTGGTTGAAGCACTAATCACCTCTTGGAAAAAACAATTGAAAAAGTGCAATGATATGGGAGCATTTTCAATATCAAGGATTGGTTCTACTTGAGCTATGGATTTAGCTGAATTAGATATAATTGTAAAAAAAAATTCATTGAAAGCGTCATACATTGAGAAGTATTTGTATAAATTTTTACTTTAAACATATATAGATGCAAAACGAGACGAATTGTGTTTTTTTTTGGTTTCAAGTTGGTTATAACACTACTCACTGCTTCGAAAAAACAATTGAAAAAGTGCAATGATTTGATAGCATTTTCAATATCAAGGATTGTTTCTACTTGAGAAGAGGATTTAGCTAAATTAGATCTAATTATTGAGAAGAATTCCTTGATAGCGTCTGACATTGAGGAGTATTCATATACATTTCTACTATAAACAGATATAGATGCAAAATGAGATGAATTGGGCTTTTTGGGCTTCAAGTTGGTTATAACACTAATCAACTCTTGGAAAAAACAATTGAAAAAGTGTAATGATATGGTAGCATTTTTAATATCAAGGATTGGTTCTACTTGAGACATGGAATTAGCTAATTTTTATCTAATTGTTGAGAAAAATTTATTGAAAGCGTCTGATATTGAGGAGTATTCATATAAATTTTTACTATAAACAGATATAGATGCAAAATGAGACGAATTGGGCCTTTTGGGCTTCAAGTTGGTTATAACACTAATCACCTCTTGGAAAAAACAATTGAAAAAGTGTAATGATATGGTAGCATTTTTAATATCAAGGATTGGTTCTACCTGAGACATGGAATTAGCTAATTTTTATCTAATTGTTGAGAAAAATTTATTGAAAGCGTCTGATATTGAGGAGTATTCATATAAATTTTTACTATAAACAGATATTGATGCAAAACGAGACGAATTGTGTTTTTTGGGCTTCAAGTTGGTTATAACACTAATCACCTCTTGGAAAAAACAATTGAAAAAGTGCAATGATATCGTGGCATTTTCAATATCAAGGATTGGTTCTACTTAAGATATGGATTTAGCTAAATTAGATCTAACTATTGAGAAGAATTCCTTGAAAGAGTATGACAGCGAGGAGTTTTCATATAAGTTTCTACTATAAACAGAGATAGATGCCAAACTAGACTAATTGGGTTTTTTGGGCTTCAAATTGGTTATAACACTAATCACCTCTTGGAAAAAAACAATTGAAAAAAGGCAAGGCTATGTTAGCGTTTTTAATATCAAGGATTGTTTCTATTTGAGACATGGATTTAGATAAATTAGATCTAATTGTTGAGAAGAATTCATTGAAAGCGTCTGACACTGAGGAGTTTTCATATAAATTTCTACTATAAACAGATATAGATGCAAAACGAGATGAATTGGGTTTTTTGGGCTTCAAGTCGGTTATAACACTAATCAACTCTTGGAAAAAACAATTGAAAAAGTGTAATGATATGGTAGCATTTTTAATATCAAGGATTGGTTCTACTTGAGACTTGGATTTAGCTAAATTAGATCTAATTGTTGAGAAGAATTCATTGAAAGCCTCTGACATTGAGGAGTATTCATATAAATTTTTACTATAAACATATATAGATGCAAAACGAGACGAATTGTGTTTTTTTTTGGCTTCAAGTTGGTTATAACACTAATTACCTCTTGGAAAAAACAATTGAAAAAATGCAGTGATTTCGTAGCATTTTCAATATCAAGGATTGGTTCTACTTAAGATATGGATTTAGCTAAATTAGATCTAATTGTTGAGAAGAATTCCTTGTAAGCGTCTGACATTGAGGAGTTTTCATGTAAGTTTCTACTATAAACAGAGATAGATGCAAAACGAGACGAATTGGGTTTTTTAGGCTTCAAGTTGGTTAAAACACTAATCACCTCGGGGAAGAAACAATTGAAAAAGTGCAAGGCTATGGTAGCGTTTTTAATATCAAGGATTGGTTCTACTTGAGACATGGATTTAGCTAAATTAAATCTAATTGTTGAGAAGAATTCATTGAAAGCGTCTGACACTGAGATGTATTCATAGAAATTTCTACTATTTACAGATATAGATGCAAAATTGGGTTTTTTTCCTGTTATTTCATTTAAAACTTGCAAACCTGTCTCGAGTCTCCGATACAGTTACTATCTTTTGTAAAAAGTACTCTCTTTTTTGCTTCAAAAGTTTTTCAGTTTTTCGCCCTTCTTTAAAAAATATAATTTTTTTTTACTCGAAATTCGCTTATCAGTTTTCCAAATTTTATAACATTCATTAATCCGCATGAGTTTTCAACTTTTTAACTTAAATTTTGGAGCTTTTGACCTTTTATTCGGACGTAAATTTTGCAGCGGCGTAAACGTATTTTTTGACTCAATTAGGCATTCATTAAATTTAATATAGGCAGTATGAAAATTATTTCATTTTACTATTTTTCAAACTTGAAAACTTTGTTTGAGAATAATTAGAAAATCATCCAATTGATTTTTTGTCATCAAAAAATTCAAATCACTATAGGATTTTTTGTTTTAGAAAACGTTCACCATAAATTTTGTCTTTGAAAGAGATAGGATAAGGATTCAAAAAGCTTCTAAATTTGAGCACTTCAACATTAGGGCTATCTTCAATTCTAGTTGTTTTTCTCTTTTTTCTAAGGTTCGTTTGGAATCCTTGCAATTTATACAGATTAGTTTCGTCCGTTCAATTAAGCCAAAATTTTGTAAAGCATAAAAAAATGACTTGAGACTACTAAGAAATGCATATGTTTTCATGATATTTACGCAAAGATTGATCAGTAGATAGCAACACTATCACGGAAAAGATACATTTGCCTTGAAAACATTTCTTCACATCAGTTCAAAAAAGAGTATTCCAAGAATATTCCACCTTCATTGAACCCACTAATGCAACATATTTTTTTCAAGCTTTTACTCGTAAAATATGTCCCTTTTTTTGGTCCAACGCGTTCGTCCGGTTTCATCATTTTTTAAAAATGTAGGCGTGGTTGATTCAGAGCTTCGAATGTTTGATATTAGGTTATCCCTTCTCCTGCAGCATTTTCCACTTCTTCATCAGGGGCTTTTTGCTTATACGTCTGGCAAAACTCACAGTTATTGGCTTGACGGCTGCTGTTTTGGTCAGGACTCGATGGGCAACTGAAATGTTTTCTCGTCTATCCCAGTTTCAGGAGTGTTCGCTTCGTTCATAACTTTGCCAATGCTTTCTTCCTTTGATTCCTTTCTATTTCCATTCCCCTCAGCCCTAATTATGCGCAAATCATCTATCTCTCTTGCTGTAATTTTCAAAAAGTTCGGCCGCCGATAACATTTTCCGTTTAGCCCTGTTTTCTGATGCTCCTGTTTGTTCGTTCATCTGAATTAATTTATTAACTTTCAATTTGGAGATTGCCTCCTCCAAGATTGCTTATATCAGTTGTTTAATACAATTTCGGATGCACAATTTGTTGTGTAATACAATTTCGTTGTGTAATACAATCGTTTCCTATGCATTGTAAATGCAAGACAGTCCAATTTTAGTTTTGAAAAAACCATGGTCTTTTTCACCTGTCTTCGTTTACAAACACAACCAAAAAATTTGAAGAAGAAATAAGTTTAATATCATTTTTTTTATAGAGTAATTCTAGTCATTAAGTTTCCATATATGGAAAATCACTGATTATAGACCTTGCATGCAATTTAATGTGCCTATGGAATTGCATAAAAAGTGTATAACGAGCAATTTTGGTCAACCCGCGTATAGGATAGATTCTCAAATCACCTGAATGCTCTGAAACAGATAAAAAAGAATGTGATTGGCTCGAATCTGAGAAAGCTCAGTTTTGTTACGAAATTCAATCGCTTTTACAAAAAAAGCAGGGCTGATATCCAACTACGAAATTTGGAAAACTTCAAACCCAACGATAAATAAAATCCCACTCATCGCATCATATTTGTGAAACGTATAAAGATAAAATGGCAAAAAAATAAAGGGAGGAGGTAAAACTTATAAAAATCGAATTATTATGATTTTGTTCAAATTGAGTTGTTTTCAATTTATCTCACCACTGCGAACTTCAGGCGAGCGATTCCAAGACGAGTGTCCCAATGACAACTGTATGTCGGAACTGGCCTTGCAAACTCTGGTTCTCATGGCTGCCAAACCCCTCCCCAAATTCTGCATGGACATAATTCTTCCCCGGGTCAAATCGATCAGTCTTGAATTATTCTCACGGTGCAGATTGTGCAGATCTCAAGGTAAAATTTTGATAAATGGGTTGTCTCAAAAAGTCTAAATTACTTTTCGACTTAAATGGAAATTTTGTGAAGTTTCTAGAAAAAATTTTAGAAGAGAATGTGGAAAATTTTATAACTTAAAATATGATTGCCACACTGAGAAAGTCAAATCGACAATGACATGTTTGTAAAAACAATTTGAAAAGAAAATGCTAAAAGCTTAGGAAAAGCAAATTGTTTCGAAAATTAATGAACACAAGGGTAGAATAAAAATTTCATAAGCAAAAAAATTACTTTGATTCAAATCGAACTGCGTCAAATTATCTGCATTAAAATTATGGGCAAAAAAGATTTTAAAAAATGAATTCTATTGTTTCATGATCTCTTTTAAAATCAGACACGGAAAACGAAAAAAGGTTGATTCGTAGTTTAAAATCAGACATGGAAAACCAAAAAAGGCTAATTTTTTCATAAGCAAAGAACAAAAAACGCTTCAGATCAAACCAGCAGCAAAACAAGTTAAAAACAAACACTAAACAAGGAAAACTATTTTGTGGAAAACTAAAAAATTCAAACGCAATGGGCAATTTTCAATGCGTGAAATAAAAATTTCCTTAAGACGAACAAGATTTTTTGAGACTACAACTCAGTTGTAAAACCCTTGCTATTCGCCCAGGTAAGGAAAACTGATCGCAAGAATCAAAGAGCCAAAAACTTTAAAAAAAAAAGCTGAAATCTCCGGCAGGAATGATAAATATACTCGGTAGAAGAACCGTAGTCTTAATTGAACAGGGATAGACAGTTGCTATTTAATAATTTTTTTCAAATTAATTTTGTTTTTAGAGGGTGTTATGATTCTAGAACTATGCAATAGCATTGAAAACTAGTGATTTAGTCATGATCGACAACAAGTGTCTTCAAAAATTTTATGAAAAACCTAAAACAAAAACTTTTAAAATTGTTTTCTAATACTTTGCTCAAAAAAAGCCTTTTTTGCCAAACAAGCACTAAATGAAGTATCCAAAACTAACTTTTATATAGAAAAATTGAGTTTTTTTGTTCTGGAAATCTAAAAAAAAACAGCAAACTTCCATATAAAGAGCGTTACTCAAACGCATTGCTCGCTCGAAATTAGAATAAGTCTTAAAAGTTTCAAATCAGTTTTTCTCAACAGTCAGACGGTTTTTTGAAATTTTCTAATGTAGTTCGTGTGACGACTGAAACGGCTCTAATTTGATATATCACTCAAATCACTCAGCTGAATATTCAGAGTACCTAATTTTGCGTGAAAAACAAAATAGAAAAAAAACTAAAATATACCCAAATACAAAGATCCTCCCCAATTCCAATGGTCGGAACAATGTGAAAACAAAACAAAAACTGCTGGTTATTTCTACTGCTACCATTCTTTTGATTATTTGTCTGATTCGCATGAACAAATGAGTTGGATATATCAAAATTATAAGTTATTGAAAACCATTAATTAAGTTAATTTTTTTAAAGTTCGTGACTCTTGTTTTCTTATTGTGATCCATCTATCATATTGTTTTTATCAACTTCAAGTGGATCCTGACGAAAACAACATGAGGAAACTGCGTGAAAACATGATGATTCGCGAATATGTCAAACTACCTCTGCTGAACTTCACGCTTGAAGAGTACCTCGAAAAAACAGTCGCGTTTGGTTATCAGGTTCGACGATTGATTACAATAGAGTTTCGTTTACATACAAAATCTGAACGCTTTAAAAAGAATATTTTCTCGTTTCACTACAAAAAAAATTGATCTTAAGAAAGGCTTCAAATCTTTTTCAGGTTTTGAATTCTAATTAGCAGATCAGCACTTTCCTGGCCATTTTAACGCAGCAAGATTTCCTTCAAAGCTATTTGAAAACTATGCACATTTATGAGCGATTCTGGTTCTTCCAGACTATGAAACAGAGCTTTTTTGAGGTCACGGGATGAACAATATTTACCTAATGTTTGCGGTTAAAGCTGATTTTTGAACTTGTCTCAAACTTTTTAAACTTGCCGTCACTAGTCCAAACTGTATTCTCATAAGGCGCACCGTTTGCAGTGTATATTCTTTAGAAAACCAGAGACAAAAAAGACAATAAAATCCCCAATAACTATTTTTTGCGGTACCCATAAGCAACCCGCGCCGGAATTTCATGGATAAAAGTCAATTATAATGAAAAAAAAATTGCCTAAAATGTCATTGTAATCCATTTTGTTGTAAATTTAGACAATGGAATCGATTATAGTGAAAAAGTGTTGTCTAAAAAGTTGTCATTATAATCTATTTTTGTCGTAATATTAGACCATGAAATCGATTATAGTGTCATTATAATCGATTAATTCCGTAAAAAACTCAATCCTTTAAAATCCGTTATAATGGATTATAATCTCTATATTATACTTTTCGCAAAACCTAATCAATTTTATACAAATTGCGCGTTTAACCCTACCTCTCTCCTGTCCGTTCACTTATTCAAACTCCCCCCCCCCCCCCCCACTCTATTACTATTCACCAACCCCCCTCCCTCCCCTCCGCATTTAGACATCCCTTTAGTCCCCCCCCACCACCGCTCCTCCCCCTTTAATTTTGAAAAGGTGATGTGTGGGGTTGAAGCATGGCAAAGTAGGTTGAAAAGTAAAGGAGGCAGCGGTGGGGGCGGGGGGGGGGGTAGGGATTTAAACGAGGAGAAGGTGTAGTAAGCGGGCTGGTGGGTCCTAAATTGGATCAGGGAGAGTAAATAAAGATCGGTCAACAAAAAAGTGAGAAACTTTAAAAATTTCCTAGATTTTCCTATTTACGCCGAAAGCAATTGTTAAGTTTTGGTTATACTGCACTGTGTTTGAAATTTTTACTAAAATTTGCAACAAAATTCATTTTCATCCCGACTTCATTATAACTTTAATAATATCCGGAATAATCAATCGAAATGAGTTTTATTGATTTGACAAAAAATTAAATTATAAGCCATTTTTAATCTACTATAAACGATTATTTTTGAGTTTTATAGACTACTATTTTAAACAAGGACGTATATGGATATTTCAGTTGATAAATATCGCAAATTATTATCGGTTCATTTTTCGAGTATTCTCGTTTTTTTGGCAGCTAATTCTTTCGAACTGCTAGTCGCTTGTAGATTGAATATGTTCTCTCAGACGCCAGCAGAAAAGTAGCGAAGAGTTTCACAATGCGAAAGTAGCTTTTGTTCGTCAAAACCGAGACTAACTCGTATTTGGACGAAGCGTAGGTGAATATCATCTCGGTAACAAGTGGATCTTTGGCTGATGTCGACGAGGAATCAGAATAAATAAACCGACCCGTGGGTCCCATAACTCCGTTTTCGTCCACAAAATGTTTCTCTGAATATTTTATCACGACTTTGTGTCCAGCGGTCAGAAAATCCAGTGGTCGGAGCTCAAAATGCTTCTGATAAAACGCCAGGGCGTCTTCAATTTTTGAAGTTAGTTTTATAAGTTCGCCCCATTCGACAGGAAATGCTGCGTAACTAAAAAAAACTCCTCTAGTCAAGTTACAAGTCAAGTTCAAATACGCCCTATCGACATAGCTCTGAGGGTTCAAAATTAAAGTGGTGGGTATTGTCGACAAGAAAAATGATCCGTTGTCGTGTGTATAATTTACAGGCACTTGAATTTCGAAAGCCCTGCAAGAATTGATGTCGCTTCTGTTCTTAAACGACATTAGTCGGCACTCGCACGAGGACAAAAACTCCAAATAATCGAAATCGGACCCCAATTTTATTGCGTTCATAAGCAACACGCTCTGCTCATAAACTCCATTTGGTATTTCGGGAAAAGTGATAGAAGAGCTTTTCTGTTTGGAGTCCTCGAATATAGCAATGGTTTCTTGTACGATAACAACAGCGAGCAACATTCCGAAAAGCGCCACGAGAGAAAACCCGAAACATCTTTTCATTTTAATTAGAAAATAATCGTTTCGTTCGACTGTAATTTCGTAAAATTTTGGGGGTACGATTTTCAAACACGAATAACCATAACTTCAAAAACAGAAACCAAGTTTATTGAACAAAATTGATAAATTATGAAATGCACTTTTTTACGGCAGGTGGATAACTTCTAACTCAGGTCATTTGTCTCAAAAAAAATCCGGAAATAGTGGTACTATCCTTGCCAGACCATATCGATTGCGTCTTAAATGGACTAATTCGCAAAAGGATTTACGGAAACTTAAAAAAAAATAATCAACTCCACACAAAATAAACAATGATAAATTTTCAGAAGAAAGCAATTCTGCGGGCAAGTTCTTAAAAGTAGTTGTATTATTTGTTCAATCGTTGATATTAATCTAAATATCAAAGAAATTTCCAAACTTTTTACTCAAATCAGAAAAGTTTGTTTACTAAATAGTTTCAGGTATACAGAAATCATAGTGAATTTTTCCACCTAGAGAAAATTGCAGGAATCAAATTTGTTTGGATGCAATTAAATCCAGATCTTGTACACAAGTTTTCAGAATTTTGATTGAAAAAGTTTTTGGTTGTAATAAAACACTGAAACTTATGTCATTTAGGGTAATTTTTTCAGTTTAATGCATTTGGGAATTATGTCATTTGAGCAGTCACCATTTTACTGATTTTTAAAAAAATTCTTCTCATCTAGTGGTGCAAAACACATGGTGTTTTTTGTCAGCGGAAACGATGATATGTCCAGATTGAAAAGCTTGCTTGCTAAGTACAGGTGATTTTACAAAAAAGGAAACTTGCAGTCCGTGTGTCTTCTTACATGCTAGACGAATGTTGTTGTAGTTGTAATCAGGGGCGGATTTAGGGGGGGCAATGGGGCGGATGTTCCTCTCCCCCCCCCCCCCCCCTCAAGGATTCGACCCCCTGCTGACCCAAAGGGTCCCCCCTTTGGTACTTTTCAGGAAATCCATTTTCGTTCGATTGACACTAAAATCTATACACGCCAATCTATACTAACTTTGAGGGGGAGCGCGCGCTAAGAAAACGCGAAGTTTTTTGTCATAATTTTCCAAAAAGTGCCCAAAAACGGCTTTTTTGACCTGTTTTTAGAAAAAAATTGCCTGCGGCGCGGAAAATTTGGTCTATCTGCGGTCTTTATAGTGCTTTAGGAGAGCTCGGAAAACCAATTTGGTTGACCTAATAAAAAGGTCGTCAAAATTTTCGGTTGTAATTAAATGCTTGTGACGTAAATTTTGTCCGCAAATTTTTTGTGTCGCTGATCGACAAGCATTTTATGTAGCCAACTTGACAACTATTGTAATCCATCGTCTTGTAAGGTTCTGTTTGCGGCCTCTATTCCCCTGGGTCCTCTACTGGCTCTGGTGTTCTGGCTGATTGATGTGCGTGTGGATCCCCAGAGAATGTTGTGGGACTACAGACGGCCAGTGGCATACATTGCGGAAGATATAGGTGAGTACTTTTGAGGCAATTTGGCGCAGTGAAGGTGATTCTTGGTTAGCATGCATGTAATCGAGGTTCGAAACTCACGTGCGCTGTTATTAGCGGCTCTTTTTGACACTTCCCCGCACATTTCAAATTTTCTGTTAATATAGTCGTTTTACATGTATGGCTATTATGGCTAGACGTGGCGTGTTATGATGAAAAGTATGAAAAGCAAAACGTTCGCGATCTGCTTGTAAATGTGGGTCGGTATAAATAAAAACAATAAATTTGTTTTCAAGCTATGCGCGCTTCAAAAATGTATCGAAAATTTTGTAGTTTAACCTTCGAAGAGCACCAGCTTGAACGGACACTGGAGGCTATCCAGCCTGTTGAAAGTGCCGCGAACGAACTTTCCATTTCTTGAGAATCATATGTTTGTCACAATTTATTTGAATTAAGAAAAATTTTTTCCTTCTGTTACTATGAAGTTCTATGAATATCTGATTGAGGAAAATAGGATAAAAAACTGCTCAAAACAAAAAATTTAAAAAAAAGCAAAAAAAAGGTCTCAGGCAGCATGATTCATCAAATTATTCCTAATTTAAACATTCGTTCAATTTAGCAACCGATCCAGCCATAAAATGTCTACAAAGAAACTCTGTGAAAACTTAAGAAACAACTATATAGTTCTCTCTTAAATTGTGCAAAAACCTACTCAAAACTAATTCATTCAAGTCGATAACTTTCGATAAAATTTCCGTGTCACAATTACGTACAGATAATCGTTTTTTGTTATTTATACTCAATTTTGGCTTGTTTTGAGACATTGGAGTCGTGTCTTTTCTGCTAAAGAGTCATTTACTTTGAAAACTTTCAATGAAAATTGAAAATAATGACTGACTCACTGCAATGTTGAGATTTTACTGAAAAGTTTCAGAACTTCATATACATATAGCTCAAACAAAGAACAGATTTTTTTGGTTCGTTTTATAGTTCTTATTTCTTCAAACTTTGGCCGCCTAAAAAATATTTGCACGGGTTTAATAGCCAAAGCAATTTCTCTTGAGTCTGCCACATTTTGTTAAGCTTGTTTAACTGAACTTGTTATTTGTCCTCTGGCTGCTTAACTAAAAAAGGAACTGATTTTTTTTGTTTTAACCGTTTTAGGCTTTTTAGTGGTTAGCAGGATTTATCAAGAATTTTGATTCAAATCCAACAAAATAAGTGCTAAGCAACTGCATCAAACGGTTAAAAAACTTTGAAGAAGCTTTCATTTAGATTTAAACTGAGTTAAAACTTAAATGTATTTTACCTAAGGAAAACAACTTTTACAATATTCTAATTTGCAATTTCAAAACCTTTTGCTTTTACTCAAGAAAAAAAACAAATTGTTTGGCACATATGACTAACATATTTTATGACAAATACATAATGAAAGTTTTGCGACGAATATTTTGTGACATTTTTCAGTTTTCCTTGTAGCTCTGTTTTCAAATCGACTTTTTATGTATGACATTATTCAAACACAATCTTTCCTTCATGGAGAAAACGCTATGCAAACTGTTCACCGTGTCTGCGCTTTTCTCGTGGTATTATTGTGGTATTAATATTTAAATCGGTGTTTTTCGATAATGAGAAAAGTTTTGCATTTTTGAAAGCAACTAGCGGGTAACGCACCTCCGGTGCTTAGAATATGTAACAACTCATAAAAAACCATAAATACTGGAAAAAAAATCAGCATCCTTTGAGTGTACTCTGACAGCACCGAGTTACATTGTTGGTTATTTCAAATTTTGAAAAAAAAAATTTATTCAAATTTTTTCAAATCAAAATTTTAAAAACCATCAAGTTTTTTATATTTAAGTTCTTTGAAAAACTTTAAAATCTTTGAAACACTTAGAAACATCACATCTCGGAATCTTAAACTAACTGGGTGGTCGCATTTGGACGCAAGATTACAGTATCCAACTACAGCATTGGGAATTTGAAATTTTGAGACACCCAAAACTAAGTTTTCTAAAAAAAAGTCTTTTTTGAAAAAAACCAGAGAAAAAAAAACGTCATATCTCATAAACAACCGAAAAAATTTGAGCAGCCACAATTGCAGGCAAGATCTTTTGCAATACCTGAGAGTATTCTGATAGCCCCCAGCTACAGGGGCTTAGGAACTTCAAAATTTGAAGAAAAAAATTTGAGTTTTCTGAAAACTCAAAAAAAAACGTCATATCTGGAGAACTAATAAGACTTGAGCAGTCACAGTTGGAGGCAAGATTCGCAACATCTGAGACCTTGCGACTACTCTGACACACCTAAACTAAAACGTTGGGAAATACAAATTTAGAAGAAATAAAATTTTCTATAAGTTTTCTGAAAATTTGAAAAAACGTCATATCTCAAAAACTACAAAAATTTGAGCAGTCATATTTGGAGACAAAACTCACAACTCCTGGGAGTACCCTAGCAAAGCCTCATTATAGAGGTGGGAACTTCAAATTTTGTAAATTATTTAAATCTAAGTTCTTTTCAAAATTTTGTAAATTGTTTAAATCTAAGTTCTTTTAAAAATACTAAAAAACATCAAATCTCGAAAAATACAAGGAATTGAGCAGTCATACTCAGAGGCAAGATTCGCAACTCTTGAGAGTACCATCGCAGTTCCCAACTCCAGGATTGAGATCTTCAAAGTTATTGAATTTTTAATATCTTAAGTTTTTGAAAATTTTTGAAAAATCATTTGAAAAACGTCATATCTCGAAAACTACAAGGATTTGAGAAATAAGGTTCGGAGGCAAGACTCGCAGCCTTTTAGACTACCCTGGCATCCCCCAACTACAGGGTTGCGATTTGAAGTTTTTAGAAGCTTTTAAAAACCAAATTTTTCTAGAAAATTTTGAAAAACCTCGAAAATTGCCGCTCATAGCCTAAAAGATCTGCTTATTGATATATGGCGGCCGAAATCGCAAAATCCTGACAGCATCTCATTATGAGGTTGCAACTTTCAAACTTGGTGAAGTAAACACTGATTTCAAATAGGAAAATTGAAAAAAAAATTTTAACCATTGGAATATACGATATAGCTTAAACGATATATACTATATAGCCTAAGGGAGATAGTAACTAAAAACAAAACAAAATCAAATTACAAATGAGACCACTTTTTTAAGTACAAAAGCAAATGCACTTCGCAAAAACAACTACAATTTTTTTTTCGCAAGGAAAACTTAAGTACCTTCAGATTTGTTTGAAATTGGTTTGCGTAAGTCAAGCAGGGTTTAAATTACTGCACCAAATCGATATGAAAATACGTTCTCGCGACAAAGACAGAAATATATTTTTGAACTTTTTTTTAACAATGGAGCGGAGGTTCTCTCTGAGTTACAAGAGCTTTAATTTATTGAAAACTACATTCCTAAGGCTGAATCCATTTTTGATATTTTCAAAACTGATTTATGTGTTTTTCAGACATCCATTCTTTTTCTGTATTTGAAGATCGTGATTTGATGTGTTTATAAACTGAGTTGAATGCAAGCTTGAAAATAAACCAAAAACCAAATTACCAAAAAAGAAAAATGATTGAGAGTGAAAACTTTTTTTCACAAAATCGATTAGAAAACAGAGTCGCGATTAGTAAAGTTTTTATTTCTATGGAACTCTTGACCGAAAAACTAACTGACCTGTTTTCGTTGTTGAAAAAACATGAACTTTTGAATTTCTAACAAAAAAATTAGATGGCCTATTAAAATTCTTTGGGACTCAAGAAATTTTTGTGAATTTTTCGATCAATTTATCCCAATGTGAGAAAACTGGAGCAACAAGTGAACTTTTTATTGCACTGTAGAAGTCGATCACGTTTTTGCGCAATTTTCATTTTGGTAAATGATGAGAATAGTTTTCTTTTTTCAATGAAAGAGTTCGAAATTAACTTGGAAAGAAATCAAAAGTCCACCAGCAAAAGATCAAATTTGAACATGAACAACTTTAAGAGATTTTTTTTCTGGAAATACCCCCGCAAAGAAAAAACAACACATTCTGTATAAACGTATTCACTGCGTTCACCGACACTTATAAACTTCAAAACTACTGAAATTGATTGTTTCAGGAATGTGGTACGCCATCATGGAGTTCATTGCTTGGGTGTCAGTAGTTGTGAATGCTGCGGTCATTTCATTCACGAGCTCGTTCGGCAAAGACGAAACCCTCGAGAACCAGCTCAAAATATTTTTGAGTCAGTCACATCAAGCCATATGATTCAAAAGAAAGTGTAAAAATGAATTTTACTGGTTACGCAAACTGATAGCTGGCAAAATAGTGAATAAAATCTACAGGAAAGGTAAGGATAGCCAACAGAAGATTGAAAAAAAGGTGAAAAAGTAAACCAAAAAATCAACTCGAATTGTTCAAAAATTTATATCACGTGAGATTCTCCTGAGTTTCAAGAACTTCGTAATTGGCGTTTTTGTCTTATAACTTGTTCCTGAAAAACAAGCAAAAAGAATCGACAAGAACTATCTATCAACTGAAAATCACTTCGTTCTTTTACACTTAAAACCGAACACAATCAAAAGAATTTATCGCATTAAGTTTTTAAAAGTTTTATTCATTAATTGGAAAATTAATAGCTTTGATCAATTATTGGATAAGGGTTATCACGGCATCAAACGAAAAACTTATGAAGAGAATGTATATAATGCACGTACTTCCGACTGCCAGTTCAGATTTTTTTTAAGCTTTTTTACAAAATCTGTTTTTGGAACGATTCAAACAAAAATTATCATACCAATATAAAAATGTCTGGAAAAAAAAGACGTTTAGTTAAGTGCACGAAAAATTGGTAACGTATTGAATCATATCGCACGTTCGTTTGAATTAGTCTTCGAACATATTTGCTTCGTGGTCAAATTCCTGCTCGCCTACATGATACCCGACACTCCTAGTCACGTGCTACTCGCGATACGAAAGGAAAACTACGAAGTCCAAAAACGGCTGGAAGAAGCGGCTAAAAAAGGAGACAAATTGAAGAGTACAATTAAGTACAAGAGTGTAAGAGAGAACTTAGAAGGGACACCTTACAAGAAACTAACCAGGAATTTGAAACGAAGGGATAATAAAAGACAACAGGAATCTTACAGACAGGGTTCGACCGGGAAAAGTAGCCCAAATTACGAAAGATGAATGTTTAAATAAACTAATTCGGCGATTAGTTTTGGGCTCAAAGATTAAGTTTTGAAAATTAATGTTTTGGACTTAATTTGCAGCAACTTAATCAAAAGTCACAAAACTTCGAACAAAGTTGGGTTATGTTACTTGTCTATTAATCGAAGATATTGCTGATAATTGAGAATGATATTAGGTTTCCGTTATTTAATTAAAATAATTAATCTAAGAATTTTCTGGACCCATGATGTGACATATACCGATCAATAAGTTGATCTCTTCTTTTACTTAAAGAGCCCAAAAACATATTCATTTTGAGCAGTGTAAGCTTAAGTCAATTCTTCTTCGCCTTATAATCTGTGTGTTGCAAATAATTGAAAAATCAATTTCTTCCCTATTTCTGAAAACAAAGTTGCTAAACAATCTAATTTCTTGTGAAAGAATATTTTGATATCAAAGTTAGTAAAATTCAATCAATTGTTAAATTTAGGGCAACATAATACAACAAAACACGATGAGTTTTTAATTTATTGATTTTCAATTTGTTGATGTATGTCAATTCCATAACTTCAAAAAAATGGCTTCAAGTTGTCAAAAAGCCAGCAGCTTTTAAAATACTCATCGGGCTAGCTGTTGTATCATAATAACCTCATTTCAGACCTGCAGTTGAATACAATGTAAATTAGATGCAAATCATCTCACAATTTTAAATTTCAAAATAAATTTAATATTCAATCATTCCATTTTAAGAAAAGAACCTCTATTTTGATTTAAATTCAAATATTTTGAAACTCAATTGACAAAAATTAGGCTCAGTTTTCAAAAAAAAGTTTTGACACATTTATTAAGAAAAAACTGATGGAAAAACTCAAGCATTAGAAGAATACAGAAAAAATGGGGGAACTCTTCAACTATACTCCTCTATGCTACCTAGTAACGAACATTCACCCCTATAGAGCACTAGTTCACCAGTTGAAAATATGCAAAACTTTGACCTGAAAACCAAGTTCATCCCCCTTGCAATAGGAGAGGAGGAAGTTGAACAAAAGGAAAATCAGAATTAAGCATATTCATTTTTTGTACAAAAACTCATTGCTTCACTGATCTCACATACAACATTAACCGGATTTTGTTAACTACCCCCTTTGCAAAAGGGGGAAATCGTTGCAAGGTACAAAATTCGTATATGCTCTCAATTCTTTTTAGTATGGGGGAAACTCCTTTAGTAGGGGGGTTACGAGGTACCATAGGAAGAAAAAGTAAGCAATTTCCCATTAACCTCCCCTAGCATAGTTAGAACTCAGCTTTTTTTATCATTTATCATTTTTAGAATTAAAATTAAGTTAAGCGCAATTAGAACATAATTAGATTCCAAATTAAGTTTTTTTCAAGTACCAGTTCCAGGAAAAAGGTTTCCGCTTCCATTAACCTGATCGCTAGCTCAGCTATTTATTTTCATTTGCATTTGAGACCATTAGTTTAGAATTATTAACATTAACAAAAAGATAAAATTATATTCAGAATTGTAAGTTTCACTTTCATTGTAACCTAGATTAGAATCAACAATCTAAGTTTATCAGTTTAATCAAGCTTCGTAGTTTAACTGTTTTACTATCATTCTCATTGCCTCAAAGCTCTCATTTCATCTCTGCTAATTGAAGCCATAACATGATTAGCAACCAGGTGTTTGAACTTATCTTCTCTAATGGCAATGAACATGTCTTTGACTGATTGTTTGTCTTCTTTTAGCTTCCAATAGTCGACAGCAAATTTAGGCGCCGGTGTGTTGCTCCAATCGGAAATAGAGCTGTTCGGCTTTGTGATTTCTTTTAAGCACCTACAATATAGATAATACTGATTGGTTAAAATTATTGTATAATAAATCAATTATTGACACAGAGGCAAGGCTGCGCATCGCAAACACTTGCGAGAACACGACAAAAAGCAGCTCTACTTAGTGCACGAAGAAAAGTAGAAATAAACCTCGATTTAGTAAAAATCCGGCTAAGAATCGAATTCGATCCGCGACCTAGAGATTACGAGTCTCCCGCACTAACAACTCAGCTACGAACGCTTAATAATTCATAAACACTAGCCACAAATTAAGCAGAGAACACATGCTATGAAATTTTCACAGCTACAGATCGTGATTATAGCAAAAGTGCCACCAAATAAGTGAACACTTATTTGCGAGTAAGGCTAGAAAAAAGAAGGTTCGTACTGATACTAACCCTCTCTAGTCTTATTAGTAAAACTATTTACTTCAGAGGTTGGCAATATCCTTTTCGTTTAACGAACTTGAAACGAAGTTATTTAAAATAAAACTGAAAAAAGCTTAATAAAGCTAAAATAAAAATTATAGCTAGTCTAAAAAGCAGTTTTCTGACCACCATTTAAGCTTAAATGAGCTTAACGATAAACTCCACCGACTGCCTCCTCAGCTTGGACCCATTTAAAGTAATTAATAAACTTTATTAATAATTAATAATAAAATAATTAATAAAAAATTTAAAGTGATTATTGTTACCCTTTTGTAAAATATTTCATATCGACTTATCTCGAATTTCAATTTACTGTGTTTATAACTTTTGGTTTCTCAGTTACTTCTGGAATTCGTCATTTTTTCCCATTTCCAATAGGAAGAAAAGATAAAATTTTAGTTTTCATACAGGCCCAGAGATGACAATACATAAAATAGAATTCACTCAATGGCTACCTGAGTAACACGTAATCAGAAGCGAACTCAAAAATCAAATTGATAATATTTTAAAATATAAATATAATCTAAGGGGGGGGGGGTAATCTTACTTTTGAAACTCTAATATTCAGGTCGATGCTAACTACTTCATGGTTACGATTGCATAAGATGAAAAAAATGCGCATCGAAAACTAGCAATTAGAATCAGAGCCTCCCAAGAGGGCTCCCGACAGCATGCAGCAATAAACTTACAAATTTTAGTAGCTCTTATTTTGAAACAGAATCGGAGATTCAATTAAACTGCTAGAGGCGTTTAACTTTAGGGTTAAAAAAGATTACTTTGAAAAACTGAAGTCAATTGGGAAAAAAAAAACTTGTCTTTGAATTTGTCGACAAAAAGTTGGTCATAATAATCCAATAATTTTGTCATAGGTATCACAATAACAGTAAAAAATTTCTTCAAGTTAACGCATCTATTAAGACGGACCAGTTTGCCAACTGTGTCAATCATTAAATTGTCAGAAAAGCGTTCAGTTCAAGAAAAAACTATTCTTCTGATGTACCCCTTGGACAAAAAAGAAGCATACAGCACATGTTCACTGACTATATTCCTCAGCTATGAAAATTTTTCTTTTAGAAAGTTTCCAAACAATCTTAAATAACTTGTTAACACGGTCTACGAAAAATGATCCAAGGGAAACCAAAAACTATAGATCAAAAATCATTACATCGTCAAGAGAAATTTGGAAAAAAAAAGATAACAAGAAAACCGAACAAATAGGATCGAACATTTTTCATTTTTCGGGAAAAAAATAGGCTAAAGCTCATTGAACTTGAGAAACAATTTCATTGACTATTTTTTGAAAAAAAACCTAATTTCAAACTGGATCAATGGGTAATTTTTTATTTCGCTGGGAAATCTAAAAACTTAAATCCACTTTTGAAACTAGAATTCGTTGACGTTTTTTCACGCCATTCGCACTTTTGTAATCTGAAAGCGCAGTTTACTTTATTTTTAGAATTCATAAAAGCGTAAAATGTATGAACGCACAAAAGTTGTAAAAGCACTTCGCTCTTTAACGCTTAAAAACTATGTTAATAATGAACAGATATCAGTTGAAGGATAATCTTGAGCATAAAAAACTTTGGACTTCGAAAATCAACTTCAGCTATAGAAGCTTTTATCTAAAGTATCGAATCCTTTCGATGAATAACTGATGAGAAAAACATGTTGATCGTTCCTTTTTTTGATCATAGCACTTGACTCCGCCACAATGAATTAACAAAAAAAAATAATCAAACTGCTAATTATTCCTATAAGTTCCACGTTGGACAGTCCTAACACCACTCAAACAAAAGATCTGAATCAGCAATTAAGAAACTCCGAAGTTGTCAAATGCGCTGATGCTACGATGCCTTTCGTCGAACAACAAAATCGGTGAGCATCGGCTTTATTGCTAATTTCTGTCAAGAAACATCCAATCACCTTGTAAACACTACATTGCAAGCTAGTGAATAGAAAATCAGACGGAAACCAAAATATGGAAAAAAAATCAGTGACAAAAATTAGGGAAAACTTCAGCAACAAAAGTTTCAGAGACACAATCCCCATCGTTTGAAAAGCCAAAAGATATTTGGAAGTGATAATTGACTTTTAATTTTTTCCAAAATTTTCACATTTAAAGCCCTTTGAATTTTATCTTGCTTTCCTTGCATTCGATCAACAGCAAAAAACATCAATAGCAAATAAAAAATAACAGTCAATCTTCATTCTCTTTCAATTACAGTACCACGAGAACTCCGCTATCAATTACGGTACTTACAAGTTTATTTCCGCTTTCTGAGTTGGAGAGCATTATTTGCCTTTCATTTAGTAAATGAAATTGAACTGCACTTCAAAAGTCGCCCCACAAAAAATTCTAAAGTCAACCCACAAAAATCCATCTTTGGCGTGATCGCACTTTGAAACTTACTACTGAAAAAAAATACAAAAGCACGCACATGTAAGTTTTGCTTATTAGCGTCAGCTTCACGGAGAAATCAATTATTTTACGAAGTTGCATATTAAAAAGTAGGATTGCAATAGCCTAGAGGAGCCAAACGTTCTAAGAAACAATACTTTAGGGTCATGACTTTGCGTGTAACTAAATTTGGGCGTATCTGCTTATGCAGAAAAGCTTACAGCAACTCGTTCTACATACTGAAACCAACGTATAACCGTTAACAGTGGAGTTCCACAGGGCTCAATTCTCGCTCCTCTTCTCTTTTTCGTATTCATTAACGAAATGCCCAGTGTCTGTAAAGCCTCCACGCCTTTACTAGCTGCGGATGATGCAACATTTATCTTCAATCCAAACGACCGAATTAAAGACCTACAACCCGATTTGAATACCAAAGGTCAGTCTCTAATAGAATGCCATTCAACGTTCCCAAATGCAGTCACCTGAGTTTGAATAACAGATCAATTATCAATTCATTTTAATGGAGATGGTATTCCTCGAACTTTCGCCCAAAAGCATCTCGGAAAAGTTAATTTGGTTGCCACATATCAAAAACTCTGTAATAACCACGAAGAAAGCTTTAGCTGTTCTTTACATGCTAAAGAGGAATTCTTCTGGTCTTCTGCCCTTTCCGAAGCTCAACCTTTGCAAGCGCATGGTATTACCCAATCTTATCTTTGCCTCTCCTGTGTCTTCCGTGAATATTACAGTCAAACGTTTACAGGAGAGTGTACAGAAGAAATTCTGCAAATGGTCTTTAGGCAATGAAATATCTTCAAGAATTCGTTACTCAAATTAAATATTCTGCCAATACCATAGTA